CCAAGCAAGGCGCAGTCTCCTCCCTCATTCTCACCCATCAGCCGCACGTATGGGTACTTAACGAGACAAAGTCGCCGTACCCCATGCACGATCGAATTCATGCTCCTGGATACAACAAGTTTGAGTCAACGGGACGCAAACTTAACCGCGGACGAGGCGGCAAATGGGGAGTTATCGTCGGGGTCAGATCCAATCTGCATGCCCAGAACATAGACATAGACCCTCGCTTCTACGGACGTATTGTTGCCCTTGATATTGTCATTAGCACCACGAACGGACGTGGCTATATCCACCGTTTCGTGGGCCTATACGCTCCGTGGGACCCCAGCGCAGAGGGTCTGTCTGCACACGAGTTCTGGCAGTATGTGGCCGGACTTTGCCGTACTGCGCCCCACTCATGGTCCATCATCGGCGACTGCAATACGACTATGCTCCCGTCGGAAAGTCTCGCTCATGTCCGTGACTCTCCCAACCGGCTTGCGTATTCTGAGTTCCTACGCACCACCGACGGCATAGACGTTTGGGTCTCTCAAGGAGACTCCGAAGCGCGCTATGCATATACGTGCAAGTCGATGAGCGGACCGGGACTCTCCGTCATCGATCGGGTAGCAATCTCCCGCCTCGGAGTGTACTCGGCGACCTGCTCAACACTGCTGGACTACATCCCGGCTACTGACCACCGAGCTGTTCACGCTATGATCGCTCTTGCAGCCCCGCTATCTGTCCATGGTCGGGCCAGCGCCTCCCTACAGGACCCCGCTGACCGGCCTTCCTATCCTCCCCGCTTCCTCTACCCCAAACCCCAGGAGAAGCACCGCTTCGCTCACTTCGCCCGCCTCGTCGACTCGGCAATTGCAGCAGAACAGTTGCACAATTGCCCCGTCGTTGATGACAACTCATTTGACCATAGGTATCATGCACTAACCCGCATCCTCAGATCCAGCGGCCTTGAAGCCTTCGAGACCCCCCGCATACCCCAGCCCTCCCTCCCTCCCCGCAAACCGATGACCAGTCGTATACGAGCAATACTCACCGAAACTCGCCGGGTTAACCGTCTCATCTTCGCTGTCAGACACGGCTCAGTGGAGCGCCTCGTACACGATCATCCATGGGCGCGACGATTTATGACGGACTTTACCCGGTCCGCCTCGCACTCCCTCCCCGCTGCTGACCTCCTTTCCTATCTCCAGCACCTCCGCCGTCAACTGGGGAAACTCCGCTACATGAATGAACGCGCCGAGGCCGAACGCCGTGTAACGCAGACGTCACGAGCCCGCATCAACACAGCTCTGCTAGGGGGCTCTTGCAAGCGACTGTACACGCACTCCCTGGACTCTGATGGTCCACCGGCAGCCGTTCAGAGCCCCGACGACCCCTCCACTCTCCTCACTGATCCGCACCAAGTAAAGGAGGCCACGGTACGTTATTTTGCATCGCTCTTCTCTCGTACTCTCCGCTCCCCATCTCAAAAGCCCTGGATGGCTACGCCGACGATCACGCGCATACGTGAGCAGACGGCAGCCAACCCCTTCATATGGCCCAAATTCCTAACACTTGCAGATCTCCGCGCACTTCTACGCAAGGGCAATCCCCGCCCGTCTCCCCCCCCGATCTCTGGGAGAAATGGTGCGTTAAGGCTCTCAGCGACTCCGCTCTCTCCCTCATCCTCGATCTCGTAAACTACGAGATCTCCCACTCCCACTTCCCTGCCTCTGTCAAGCCTGCAATCATGTCCACCATCTTCAAGCGTGGCGCACGCACGGATCTCGCCAACTACCGAGGCATCACCTGCTCCAACCTCATCAAGAACCTACCTTTCGCCTGGCTCAACCAACTCCTCGCTCCTTATGTGGCTCAACATGGTATACTACCCGAGACGCAGGTCGCTACGCAGCCCGGGGTCCAGGCGCGCGACCTCGTGTCCTTCCTGGCCCAAGTCGATGCATACGCACATCGGCGCAAGCAGCCCTTATTCGTACTACGGCGCGATCAGCGCAAGGGCTTCGACCGCCTCGAGCCGCAAGGGTTCTACGATGCGGTTCGGGCTTATGGGCTCCCCGATGCCCTGATCGAGCTGGACCGATCTGCTCAAGATCAGGTCCCATATCAGGTAAAGACAGCATACGGCCTGACAGCGCCCTTCACAGTCTCCGGTGTTACGCAGCAAGGTGGCCCTTTCTCCCCATTAAAGTCTACGCTGACGACCAGCATGGTCAACCACTGGTTGCACGACGTCCTCGCTCCCGAAGACTGCCTCACCTTCATGTCGCACCAGGGCGCACTCGGTAAGCCGCACACCCCTGATGACCGCCTCTGCCTGCGTGTTCAGATGGTTGAGGCAATGGATGACTCCATCCTCCTCATGCCGACTTTGGCTTCACTACAGAGTGCCGCACTTCATGCTGACCGTTTTCAGGCTACCTATGGCTGGGAGACTAACTGGTCCAAGTCGCTACTCTACGTGACACAGTCCCATGCTGCACCTGCCACCGCAACGATGCCCGCCGTCAACCCCACCGACCCGGACTCACCCAACGTCACCTTCCACCCCGTCCCAGTCACCACTGACTTTTTCGACTTCCTCCGCGTCCAGGTCAATGACCCTGACGCTCAACGGGACAAGATCCGCCATCTCATCTCCACTTTCTCCTTTCCCCACCTCCCCACACGCCTGCCCCTCACCGCACTCCGTCGCATCCTCTCCTCCTGCCTCATCTCCCAGCTTCGCCCCTACCTCTCCTACCAACCGATCGCCCGCACCTCTGCTCTCAACCTCGACCACCTCATCGCACATCACGTTCACGAATATCTCGGTTTCCCCTTCCATTTCCACTCGCAACTCCTCTTCGCCCCCCTATCTCACCTCGGCTTCGACTTCCGCTCCCTCTCCCATCTCAATGACGCTGCCGCCATCCAAGGACTGCTTCGTGACCTCAACAGTCATGTCCCCACGTTCCGGACGATGGCACGCATCACGCTTGCGGACTGGACCTGCATGCTCAACAAGTGCCGCAGCCCACTCGAAGGCACTGCCTCACGCTCGTTCTCCCGTTTGAAACGACAGCTTCCCGCTGCTTGGATCACGGCTCATCAAGTCCTCCGCGAGTTTCACCTCGGGATTCGCCTTACCGACCAATCATATCTCATCCATGGCGACGTCGCCCTCCGTCACCTCGTTCGCACTCTACCGCCACCTCCCTCCTCTCCTGACTCCCTTTCCATCACCAACCTCGAGCGCGCAGGCTTCACACACCTCTCGCAGCTCGCATCTTGGACATCTCCCACTCCTTCCCGGTCCCTCCCACCCCGTCTCATCCCACACGACCACCTACAAGAATCACTGCGTCCCTACGCAGCCTCTCGCGACTGGCCGCGGATCAAGGCTTGGCTGGACCACCTCACCCTAGCTGACCTCGTCCATGCGACAGCCGGTGTCCCTCCCCACACTCTCCTGTCTGATGATCGCTGGGAACTCGCTCTCCCCCGAAGCACCCGTCGCGATCATGCCGAGCTATACATACGCGCGGCAGCTACCGCCTCCACTTCTCCGCCTCTTCCCTCTGACACATTCCTCAACCTCCTCGCCTCGGATGCCTCTGCAGTCGAGGTCTCACGACCCCTCTGTGGGTCCTACAAGCACGTTACGTTTGCTGCTGCATCCACTACCTCCGCTGTCCTCATGTCTATCGCTCCCACTGATCGCCTCGCATCCAGCCTCCATGGCGAAGTGCTAGGCCTCATCGCTGCCACCCTCCTTCACCTTGACTCCCCCCTCCTCATCCTCCCTACCTCCTCCTCCCCTCTACACTGACCACCTAAACTCCGTCCGCTTCCTTGACAACCACTCCTCCCTTCCCTCCTATCATCTCTCCCCTGCTACATTCACACCGGCCCTCTCCCTCTACCGCTGGCTCCTTGACCTCCGTTCCCGTTTCCCCCATTCACCCCGCATCCTCTACACCCCCGCCCACACATCCTCCACATCCCTCCCTGCCCGCGCCAATGCCCACGTCGACTCCCTCGCATCCGCCCCGTCTGCCCACTCCCCCTCGTCCCTCCGTTCACTCTGCCTACCGCTCCCCACTTTCACCCTCCCCGACTACATCCTCCACTCTCCCTCCCATGGTTACGTCGAATCCAACATTCCCTCCTTCCTCTCCTCCCTCCGTACATCCCTTCTTGCCTCCCGATCCGACTTTCGTCCCAACCTCACGCTCTTTCGCCCCCTCTACGACCATCACCCGCCCCCACCCCACCCGTACACCCGTGCCTCCTCTGCCTATTCCGCCGCCGTCCAACTCTACGCGCGCTCGGGCCAGCTTGACACCCACCTCTCCCGCTTCGCCCGGCTCGGTGACTCCCCTCCCTGGTGCCATGCGGGCTGCAATGCACTTGAAACCACCCATCACGTCTTTGTGCTTTGCCCCGCTTTCCACGGACTCCGCGAGAGTGCACTCCAGGACCTGATCCGCGACACGTCCGAGCAGCTCGCTGCTGCTGAAACCACACCACCCTTCACGGAGGTAGTCCTCCGGATCACGTCCGCACTCTTCACTGATTCCGACGAAGTATGGCCCCAGTACACCAGCCGATACTACCTCGGGACAATGCCCCCATTACCCACCACCGCCCTTCCTCCCTCTCCCGCAGCTCGGCGCATCATCACCCGCATCATCCACGGCTGGCACTCGGCATCGATTCGTCTCGCGGGCCGCATCTGGGGCACATACAAACGCCGTACCTCCCCTCGTCCGCCCGCAGCGTCCCCGGCGGAAGCAATCTCCCTCCCTTCCCACTTAGCTTACTTGTTAGCGTAGTTTGAACTCCGCTTACCGTTCACTTATCTTCTTACGAGCCGGCGAGGTATTAGATTATTATCTGATTACCTGAGCTGCGTCTAGTAGCGTAGTCGGTTCCAATAAATCTGTTCTCTGTTCCCAAAAAGCTGAGCTGAGTGAAACGCCGTGAATATAACCGTGCATGTGCCAACTTGTAGTCAATCTCTGTTAGTATATCGGTTAGTACACGCGCCTGTCATTGAAAATGATCGCGCGAAAGCGGGGTTCGACTCCCCGACAGAGAGATACCTTTTTTGCCTTCTTCGTTCTTGACCCACCATACAGTAACTCCGACTCTGCCGTCTACCGCGATACCACACATACGGCAGCCCGGTCTTCCGCAACAGCAACAACACGGCATCCCGGATTCTCAGGTTATGCCGCTGATGTGGACCTGCGGACCCCGTATCATCGGGAGCCATTGACGTATGCACATGGGAACCCCCCGTTGCACGCGAAGAGACGCGAAGAGAGCGCTGTATTATCGCAGGACTATCGCAAGCCCTCAAGATAGTCACCGGACTTGTGCTATCGTGACCGCAAACTTGACCCGGCGCGACGCCTTACGTGGATATGTCTGCACGTCTGTCTAACAGGTCCATCTCGGCGCGATCCAGGTCCCAGTGACCGCTCAACGGACGTCTATGGTGAAGTCCCTCCTTCATCTTGCTTGTAACTGAAACCTCACGAGATACCCACAGCAATCTGAGGCAGTCGCCTCCCTTCCCTGTGGTGTTTTAGCGACCTCTGCCTCCCCCTCGGACATAATTGCAGGCGCTATACGCACCGGTCCTGATCGGCCATAATTTGGGACGAACGACCTCAGGACCAATTCCGACAGAGATGTCTGATTCTACGGCAAATTCATGGCAGCTACTCCCACAGACTCCGCCGGTTGAGATGATACAAGTATCGAAGCCGTCCATGCGTCTTATCTCTGCTCGAAGACCTGCTGGCTTGCTTCGAAGGTCTTGCCGACCTGATCTTGCCACTCCTGCCGTGGCCTTAGGCCTACCTACACTGACTAGTATCGCCACGCTACCGGGATGTCTATCGCCATGTACTCCTTGCGACTGTGGCTGCTAGGCTTCAGCCTGTTTTCATCCTGTCTCCCTCAGGGCTCGTCCGCGCTCTCTTTGGACAACCGGCTCCACAAGGAGGATGCTTCTGTTCTCATCTTAGGCGGCGGAGTTACTGGGGTCATCGCCGCTCGTACTCTGCATGAGCACGGTATCAAGAATTTCACTATCGTGGAAGCCAGAGGTACGTGGCAGGGGCGGTCGACCTCGAGCCCTCACCTCACGCACCACATCCAGGCGAGTTAGGCGGCCGCCTTACATCTCAGACTTTCGGGGCGCCGGGGAAGCAGGTGACGCTTGAGATGGGTACGTGTGCTAGTCAGGGAGCCGTCGGCGTTCGTGGAACCCATCGCTGTTTCACTGTAGGCGCCAACTGGGTACAAGGTACGTAGACCGGAGATGGTCCCGCCAACCCGATCTGGACCTTGGCTAAGAAGCATGGTCTGCATACCCACTTCAACGACTGGTTCGGCAGTATCAGTGAGTCTTCACACAAGACCACCGATGCTTGGTTCTCATGGGGACGCGGATTAGCGACATACGATGCCACAGGTGCAGTGGACTATGTGGACGTCTTCGACGAGTCCGGCGACGCATACACGAACCTCACCATAGCGGCCGGCGCGCGCGTGTCTAAGCGTCTCGTGGACGCCACTGCGCGCACCGGATACTCCCTAATCGGCGCGAAGTCTAGAACGCCGCAAGCCATGGCGAGCGAGTACTACCAGTTTGACTGGGAGTACGCTCAGACGCCGGAAGAGTCGTCCTGGATTGCCAGCTCCTGGGTAGTGCTGCCCCTCACATACTGCCCACTCCTAGGTGTTGGACTCATGGTGCTGATCCCAGGGTAACAACTTCACGTACAACACGGACGAAGGCGGGTTCGGCGACGATAACCAGATGGCACTGGATCAGCGCGGGTTCAAGTTCTTCATCCAAGCTGAAGCGGCGGAGTTCCTGCAACCGCAGCAGCGTCGCCTCAACTCGACCGTCAAGAAGATCACGCACTCGCAGTCGGGCGTCCGCGTCGAGCTTGTCGGTGGAGAGACGTTGCACGCGGACTATGCGCTATGCACTTTCAGCTTGGGCGTGCTGCAGAACGACGATGTGGTTTTCGAGCCTGCTCTACCAGACTGGAAGCAGGAGGCTATCCAGAGCATGGTGATGGTTAGTCCCTTCGGGCAGACGAGCGGTAGCGGAGCAAATGACCGAGCGCGTTGTAGGCAACATATACGAAGATCTTCCTACAGTTCCCTGAGAAGTTTTGGTTCGACACCGAGGCAAGTGCTCTGTGACTATCCTTTCTGCCAGTGACTTACACGACGTGGAAAGATGGCACTGTACGCAGACTCAGAACGAGGAAGGTATCCGGTGTGGCAGAGCTTGGATCACGAGAACTTCTTCCCGGGCTCCGGTATCATCTTCGTGACGGTCACAGTGCGTTCATTTCCCCTCCTAGTGCGTCCTGCCTCGTTGATCAACGGCCTCTCGAACTAGGGCGACTACTCCCAGCGCATCGAGGCCCTCTCGGACGCGCAAGTGCAAGAGGAGGTCATGGGAGTCCTGCATACAATGTTCCCCAACGTCACCATCCCGGAGCCGCTTGCGTTCCACTTCCCGCGCTGGCACAGCGACCCACTCTTCCGCGGTTCGTACTCGAACTGGCCCGCCTCTTTCTTCAGCGAACATCACGAGAACCTGCGCGCCAACGTGGGTGAGCGGCTTTGGTTCGCCGGCGAGGCGACCAGTCAGAAGTACTTTGGTGAGCCCATCCGCTGTCGCCACATGACATGGTATCTGAACCAGGCTATATGCTCAGGTTTCCTGCAAGGAGCATACTTCGAAGGACTGGATGTCGCCAGCGCGGTCGCGAAGTGCATTCAGGGCGGCGCATGCGCAGGAATAGCACATATCGGGGAGGTGGAGAATGCTCGGCCGTATCAAGTATAGTATGACGTGACGAGGACCGATTACTCAAAGATGGGCTATCATAGGGCATGAACGCTACAAAGCAGTTGTCCGTCTTCTTTGGATACACAAGTCCGTTGCTCAGACCAACCCGAACGAAACACGGCGTAAGAGCATGGGACGCAGAAAGCCGCATCACGGCAGTGAACTAGAAGTGCTCTTCTGATCGTAGAAGTCCACTGTATAGATGGCAGGCCGGTCTACGTCTGCGAAGTCCCAGTTGCCGTCCTTCTTGATCACTGAGACGCCTTCTGAGGGGTCTGAGAGGGCGCTGGGGCACCGTATGACTGGGCTCGCGGCCTTGTTCGAAGCCTTTTCCGTGTCGTTCGTGAAGACGTCGGGATCGAAGTCGGACTCCGTCAGCACCGCCTCGACGTGAACTGTAGTGTCCGAACGAGATCAGCCCTCTGATCCGACGAGGAGGCGCAGACGTCACGCACGATAGTGGGCGAGACCCTTGCCAAAGCCTGTCCAGCAGATGACGCCAAAGACCATGGCGCCAATCAGGACCATGAAGGACACGATTGTCGTGCAGCCAAAGAACGGCCACTCGATGAACGTCCAGAGGTACACCTGCGAGTAGAACATAACGCCCCATCCAACGATATAGCAGAGGTTGAGGAAGAGAAACGCTGCGATGAGCCACTTCATCTCCCGCCGGACGGAGAACCAGCCCTGGAGGTAGCACGTCAGCGGATGTCAAGTACGCTGAGACCATGTTGGGCTCACCATGACGATCCATGGGACTATTGTCTGTTTAGAATGTGTCAATCCGGTGGGTTCCAATCGCCGATCGTCATGAAGGAGCGTACTCACCACGATCGTGAAGATAAAGAGGGCATAATAGAGCGGTGACCGCTGAGCCAAGAGCGCAATCTCACTGTTCCGGAGCTGATCTATCCAGAGGCTGATAGCAGTCACGGTGAAGAACAGCGAGAGTTGGAGGAACATCGAATCGATCAGGAAGAACTGCGACGCGGTCAACTCTTGCGACCATGATTGTGATCGTGCTCATGGTGCTCACCTTGTATTGGCGCATCACCTGTGGGGCAGGCATCACACGACGGATGGTAGCCGAGCTATAGCCCTGTCGTTCAATGAGAACCTGTGCTACGCTGAACTAGTGAGCAGGCATACCCTCACGATATGCCAAGCCAGGAAAGAAGTCGACAACAACGCCGTGACGTTGAGTACCAGCTCGGGGATCTACAGGGCATCGTCAACCCGGCCATTCAAGGTATGTTGTTTACGGAAGTGAGCTCACCTGAAGAGCCAACCGAGTGGTGAAGTAGGACGGCATGACGTCGAAATGGCACGGTGTACCGTTGCCTACTATGAGCGTTCGGTATCTGAACTTGACATCCTCCGTACGCCAGATTGTGTAGGCAGCCCATGCTGTCTGCAGTACTCGAGCGAAGACTACTGCCCAGCTGAGATAGTGGGAGAGGTCATCAGATGTCAGCGCGCAGGAGACACAACTACCCCAGACCTACATGTGCGGTATGGAGTTGTAGAGAATCTACGGTTAACGAAAGTGAATTTGAGGCTACACGGGCGAAGTAACTTGGACGTACGCCAAATGTGGACACTCCGAGCAACCAAAACTGAGAACCAACCAGAGCGAGATCCTCTCTTTGGGAGTTGTCCAGGCTGCCGCTCGATGAGTAACGTCCTATGCTCTCAGCCGAGACAACACTCACATCCTTCCTGGATACTCGAGCATGCGAGCGCACTGTTCGCTCAGAAGGACAGAGTTATCGCCGTTGTAAGTCAACTCCACCCCTGTTACTTCCCCGCTAGAGGGGTCGCGGACGGGGACGAGCGAGCCCGTGTCTAGGGATCTGCGCGTGATGTGGTCTTTCTGGGGAACATCAGGGCCCTCACAAGTGATACGAGAACAACTGCGGTCGTACCGTATCAAAGAACCTGGGTGTGAGTGTTCCTGTCGCGTTCATCGTCATGCTGGTGTCCCAGATTGTCGTGCATTCCTTGTAGACATCCCCGATTGGTGCTGCCGTGCATAGTTTGAGGGTCAAGTCATCTCCTGAGCGGAACAGCCGAGCGACTTCGTTCCGAGGCACTTGAGCGGTGTGCAGGATGTTGTCCACAAAAGCGAACGTGCTGGCATCCTCGGAATACACGAACGCCGCTGTAAGTCCTTGGGCCAAGCAATGGATCACGCTCAGCAGGAAGAACGC